TTTATTTTTGGCGCCAATTTCTTAGGTGAGGCTAACAGACGTAAAGTTCTTTATGATGGGCATAAAACATGGAACATATTTCCTAAATTTTTCCTACTTAACATGATTTCTGATAGCCATTTGAATAGTGGTTAGGAACCGGAAGGGATTAAGGTCATCAAAAGTTCATCCTGACCCACGGCCGTGACCTTTTATTATCTTTGTTATTCATATATCATAAGTCTTGTTTATATCTATCTTATCAGTAATATAAGTTTGGACAGGTATAGAATATTACCTGTTGAGCTTAACTTTTGGATACTCCCCCCCTTTTTTCCAGTTTGTTGCGTCATTTAGACATTTTTAGAAGTGAGCAAAATCGATTAAGGCTTTTTGGATAGTTTCGAATCTCCAGTGTTATACATGAGTATCATATTCTTAGACATCGAAGCCTTAGGAGATCCCAATCCGTAATGCCACCATTTAGATATGCAAGCTTTATATAGCCCAGATTTTTAATTCTAAGGAATCACTGTTATTAATATCAGCAAATTTTAATTAAGTTTGATTTGATCATACATTAACAACGTTTAAATTATTAATATAGTAAGTATTATAAATGCTTCTATTATGTATATTTCAGGAACGTGTGCATGCGGTGTTGGTTGTACAGGAGTAGACAATTGTAAATGTGGATCGGGTTGTTCGTGTTTCAATTAACTTTGTGAAACGATGACTCTTTGTTGACTCACATACCATTTATTCATCATGCACACAATCTTGTTGTAAACCTGTATTCAGTAATAAGGTTAATCATTGAAACGATTTTTCATTCTTGTCGAACATCGTGATTTTTTGTAAATATTTATATCAATTATCTTATTTATTTAATAAAAAAGTGAAATGAATTGAATAGAGTTTTTTCTGCACCAGATCGTTTAATAAAGACAGACAATGCTATATAGTGTGCAATGAGGAAAATTTGCCAGGACAGCGGCATTGACCTACGTGCAAAACCATTGACACACTCGTCGGTTTATTGCCCATTGCGAACAAAGACGATTTTTGCATGTTAGCCCCTCCAACCTACATTAATTACAAAGGGAAGCTGAGTTAAAAAATCCAAAGGTATTATCTTGACCTGTGCTGAGTATGAACCCACGAACCTTTCGGACAGTAAGCCAGACACACTGAGCCACCACAGCTCCCAAAAAAAGATTGTGTTGTTTATCATGGCGGTTGAATTATCCAAAATTTACTTTGTAATTGTAGTTATTAGCCTTGTACATAATAGTATGGTATTTGTTGACGATTAGTCATCTCATTAGAATTGTATAAACAAAATAAACAAACGATTGAATTCAGTCCAAATTCCATATTCTAAATTGTATATTTGCCAAAGTAACATCACCTAGTAAACTGTCCAGAACCTAAATAAAAACGCAAAAGCGGAATTTAACATTGTGAAATACCATACCGAAGACAATTTTTTTTTGCAGAACCGACCCCAAATCCATAGCGAGCTAGCGTCTAGCTCATCGAGAGACATTGTTTAGTTTCTACTGTAACCCTTACAAATCAACCCTCCAAAAATCTTTAATGTCAATGCCAATTAGGTTACTTACGTTTCATACAAAACGGAGACTGTGAATTAGTCTTGAAGTAATATTTGCCTTTACGATGGCTGTCAATTGAACGGTATCCCAAAACTGGACAGGGACCATCTCCACAGCTGGTACACGATCCTTTCAAATAATCTTTGAAGGTGGAACATGGGTAAGCCTGGAATTGACAGGTTTGGTTCTGTTGCAGAGTTTCTAAGAAGTATGAGATTGCTCTGTGATGACTGCATGAAACGTCTGAGGACAGTTCTTAAAAATCAAAATGTATTTCTAGGGTGGATGTAGCTTATAATTAGTTTTCTAGAGACCTCTTTCTTGATTTAACTTGTAAAAAACAAGAGGTGCAAGACGATAACAAAAAATTATATGAAGTGTGAAGTAATGCAAATAGAATGGGATGATATCACTTCAGTTTTTCATGGTTGTTATCGGCTTTCCATGGTAACAGCGACTGTGTGATCACCTTCTCAGAAATAGAAAAACAAATAACGGGAGACAACTACTATATATATTACTAATTTGGTTAATACTTACAAACGACCTAGAACACGCAATTTTGACGCAATTCGTAAACGTAACAAGGATGATTTGCATCCTTGGCTTCTTCGATAATTTTAAGCAATCAAACCCGAATGAAGTTGCAATATTGAAAATCGTCAGGTTATTTTATGGACTCCTTTCATACCACAGACATGTGCCTCGGATGCGAGCTTATTTTGGACATGGGCTATATTAACAATTTTTCCAGATTTCCACGTGCAGAAATACTTGTCTAAATTTTGTTCTAAAAAAGTCAAAACGCACATTCACATAATTGTCAAAAATAACTTTACTGATTTTCTTTAATATGTTACCTTTGAATTTGAGAGTAAATACTGAATACCATTTTTAAATGTAATCTTCATAACAAATGTGGACAAACTAGTTGGTAGATGACAATAACCTAACTAAAGCTCATATCTTATGATAAATTATGTAGCACGCAAATATTTCAGATAAATCCATTACGGTTTGCACCTTCAAGCATTACCACCTTTCAGTTTCTATCGGTTGGACTGAATCAGACGGAAAACCATCTATGTCTACGACACTGTGTACTGAATAATTTCTGTTTGGCCAATCAATTCTAGTCTCTTACCTAAATCATAAATTGGTAACCCGTCTGAATGTATACAGTCGACAAATATAGCATCACTAGGATCTAACCTTACATCAACATCAGTATCTTCAAATAATAGTCCAGCAGGATCTAGACCTGAAACAACAAATCACACCACTTTAATTCGAAATCGCCTCTTAATTTTAATTCGTGATCTATCCCACTTTTTGGAACCGACATTCCGACTGAACCAAATAGTCCAATAAGAGTCCTTTGCCAAGGCGGCATTGTCGTCAATGCATAGGCGAGACTTCGGTTTCACATTATATAATTTAAACGACCTTTTCATTCCAGAGGGGTTGCCCATATTCATTTAATATTCACAAGCTTCGTGTATGTGTTCATATTTACAAAACAAACCATATGTAGAAAAGTGTTGATTGGCCCCTTTGAAAATTATGTTACATCATGGACATGTACTATCTCGGTCCTTAATACGAAGATTATCCACCAAAGTGTAACACAATAGAAATATAAGGTTTTGTCATCTTTACTCAGTACAACATCATTTCAAATATTTCTTCAAATTAAGGTGCAAAAACCAAACAAATAAAACAATGTGAAACATAACATAACCCCTTGAACTCTTCTGCGTGGTCAAAAATGTGAAATTCTGGATCAATGAAAATTTTGCTATGTGAAACATGGCGTGCCAAGTGCGGCCGTGTGCAAATTCTTGTTTATAAATATATCCCGCAGAGTACAGCAATTCATACCACAATTTAATACGTCGTAAAAATTACTTCTCAAAGCTTCTACAGAATAACAGAAAAATGTCTACGGAAAAAGCATCATGTAAGTAACATTTATTATAGTCTTTTCAGATTAATCGTTTTTTCGGGCAATGAAAAACGACTCGGAAATGGATTGTTCATTGTGACATTGAAGTATATGGAAAATTTCTAGGATTGACTAAAATACATTGTCATGTGAAGGAATATATTGTGTTAATACAAAATTTAAAAAATATCGGTTCATTATATTATGTATTATATTATTTCTCTCTTAAGATATACTGTAATAAATGATTGTAAATTAACATGCAGAAATTTCTGACTTCTAGTAAATTGATACATGGTTTAGTATTGCTTCCTGAAAATGATATATAACTTTATTGTATGTATTTGGATTGTAAAACCTTTTTACTACATCGATTTACATCACAAATTTTCTACCCTTACATTATAATGATACTTTGGGTGTCTTATGTATCAGATCAATTCCAGAACAGAGACATCCACGAGCAGACGACAGTAATAATATATTGATTCCCTCCTTACCGCTAAAAGCAATTAACACAACCTACGTCAATGTGATGTATTTCATTTCGTTCATCGATTCATTAAGATCCGCAATGCTAACATGATTACTACATATATGTTCGTACTAAATTGAATCTATTTTAAATTTGTCAAGTAATTATAGCATTAAAATTAAGAAGAATATATTATTATCGATTTAACAGGAATCATCTTATATTAACAATATAATAACGCTAATGAGGCTGTATTTGGTAGAATCTTGGAGGAGCATGTAAATAGAAGTATCAGAATATATTGATAGGGATAAGAAACTTCCGGTATTGAAAATGTTATGTTTTTCTTATTATGACCGGAAATATGTAAAACATTTAATATAGGGTAGGAAATATGCGTTTACCCAGGCGCATCAATAAACACTTTATAAATATAATAATGTAATCGTTAGGTCATGATCTATATGGTATAAATGATAGCTTTACATATAATTGATAGGCAAATCATAATATTTAGAATATGACATGATTTGTTGAGTAGGTTTCAATATTATACACGAGCCACTGTCAGGTTTTAAATAATATTGTTTGTAGGTTTTATGGAGGTATTTATAGCTTAAATGTTACCGCATGCAAATGACCAAGAAAAGGTGTTCATAAGCGAAGTTTCACATAGCTTTACATAAGGTGCAAAGATGTAGTAGGTTTTAATGTTTGTTTGCGACATATATTTCTGAAAATGATGTGTTTTGTGGTAAAACAAACAATACTGATGTTCTTAAATTGTTATTTTGTAGGTTGTATTGCCGAATATGAATGTTGTAAAACTAAGTCGTGTTGTGATACTGGACCAGCTGATTGCTGTAAACCTGGTAATAAACCAGATTGCTGTGCACCAGGCAAACTCCAATGCAAATGTTCAGGTAAATATCTTTATCTTCACCTTGGAACTAGTACTACCTTGACCATTGTGAAGATGATTGTTCTTGACACCACTTCTAATTGACGCCCCATGCTTCAAAAATTGATGCCATTGGTGAAGACCGGAAACATTTCATTTTCTTTTTGCCGCCAATTTCTTAGGTGAGGCTAACAGACGTAAAGTTCTTTATGATGGGCATTATCATCTATCATGGAAAATATTTCCTTAATATGGCCTACTTGACATGATTTCTGATAGCTATTTGGGGGTAATTTGAATATATAGAGTGGGAACCGGAAGTGGTTAAGGTAATCAAAAGTTCAGTCTGACCCACGGCCGTGACCTTTTGTTATCTTTGTTATTCATATATCATAAGTCTTGTTTATATCTATCTTATCAGTAATATAAGTTTGGACTGGTATAGAATATTATCTGTTGGGCTTATCTTTTGGATACTCCCCCCCTTTTCCAGCTTGTTGCGTCATTTAGACATTTTTAGAAGTGAGCAAAATCGATTAAGGCTTTTTTGACCCTTGATGTCATTGATGAAGTCACTGTTCAGCTTTTCAAAAATAGGTTATCACACAAAATTCGGTTGCCAGTTGTAAGGCTAACGTCATCACAATCATTAACCGTCCCATATCGGGTAATTTAAGGTATACGTGGATATAGTTTCCGATCTCCAGTGTTATACACGAGTATCATATTCTTAGACATCGAAGCCTTAGGAGATTCCGATCCGTAATGCCACCATTTAGATAGGGAATCTTTATATAGCCCAGATTTTTAATTGTAAGGAATCACTGTTATTAATATCAGCAAATTTTAATTAAGTTTGATTTGATCATACATTAACAACGTTTAAATTATTAATATAGTAAGTATTATAAATGCTTCTATTATGTATATTTCAGGAACGTGTGCATGCGGTGTTGGTTGTACAGGAGTAGACAATTGTAAATGTGGATCGGGTTGTTCGTGTTTCAATTAACTTTGTGAAACGATGACTCTTTGTTGACTCACATACCATTTATTCATCATGCACACAATCTTGTTGTAAACCTGTATTCAGTAATAAGGTTAATCATTGAAACGATTTTTCATTCTTGTCGAACATCGTGATTTTTTGTAAATATTTATATCAATTATCTTATTTATTTAATAAAAAAGTGAAATGAATTGAATAGAGTTTTTTCTGCACCAGATCGTTTAATAAAGACAGACAATGCTATATAGTGTGCAATGAGGAAAATTTGCCAGGACAGCGGCATTGACCTACGTGCAAAACCATTGACACACTCGTCGGTTTATTGCCCATTGCGAACAAAGACGATTTTTGCATGTTAGCCCCTCCAACCTACATTAATTACAAAGGGAAGCTGAGTTAAAAAATCCAAAGGTATTATCTTGACCTGTGCTGAGTATGAACCCACGAACCTTTCGGACAGTAAGCCAGACACACTGAGCCACCACAGCTCCCAAAAAAAGATTGTGTTGTTTATCATGGCGGTTGAATTATCCAAAATTTACTTTGTAATTGTAGTTATTAGCCTTGTACATAATAGTATG